TTTCCTGAGCTAGAAGTGTTTTTTTATGCATTTCTTACCTCTGAATTCTTAAGACAAAGTCTCTTTTATGCTAATCAGTAGGGTAATGGAAGCAGAAATGGATGTTAATTTCACATTTTATAGTTAATACAGTGAATGCAATACAACTCATGTTCCATTCGATTTTGCAGCCAGTAGTGGCTGCTAACTACAGCAATCTGTAAAACAATGTCTTTGAAAAGTTCCTACTAATTTTTCCAGTTTCCATTTCTATCCGGAATATTTTATGCTAAACCAGAATGAGTACATTCATAATAGTAAGTCACTTCTTATATAAAACTATGAAAAGGAGCATTCAAAATATGGATTTATTTTTACATAAGTTTAAATACAAAGACAAGTTCTTTGCGTTTCTGTAGTATCTCCACTAAAACTCTAGTCACTGATCCAAACTTTTCTAAACAGCTACAAAACACTTCTGCAGTCCACCCTTTTTCAAGAATAAAAGCCAAATAAATGATGTTTCAGCCTATTTGACAGGTTCCTCATAATGGAGCACCTCATTTTCCCCTAATTAGTTAAACACTCCCATGCTAGAACTGCTCACCTTTGGTCAAGAGCATGAGATGCGGCACCTTAGAAACCTCAAGCCTGACTCCTTGTCTGCTACGTGATTAGAAGCGCAGTTGTGAAAACCAAAGCTCAAGGCAATCCTATTACAGGGGACATGTATACCTAATGAGGGGGCATCAAGACCAAGTCACATGCAGAAAACCAGTTGTATGGGTAATTAAACATGCATACTCATCAGAAATATCAAATATTGCCTTTCACTTTAGTCAGAATTGCTTACGCAGAGGACTACTTCATTTAGCCAGTGAATTGCTTTCAGTTAAATGAAAAGTGACAGGGACTTACTGAAGAATGAGATACCAAAAAAATTCATCCGCTCTCTAATTCACCCCTTGCCCACTTGAAAGAATTATAGCTTTTCCATATTTCCATAAGGAAATGGGGGGGAAAAGAGAGACAAGTAATGAATGACCTATGAGTCAACAGACCTGATTCAGTCCTCAGCCATCATCTAGTCTAGAAGCATCTAAAGCTGCAAGCCTTTTAAGTTACTGACTGTGTGAAAAGCGTACTATCACTGAACTTTACGAAACACATTACTGGCAAACAGACAAGATGTTATCTCACTTTCTATAGTATTATGTACACGTACACCCACTGCCACATACACATTTTTAAGTGTTGGGCACAGTCACCACTGTTTGGTTTACCTTTATTACAGTTAACTGAGGAAACTCAGAATCCACTAAAAATTTTTGTTTCCCATTAGACTATGAACTCAATTATTCTCCCTAAGAGTGGTAACATTTATTTTCAAACAAGGAAGTCTCTTCTCATAGGCTTGAACACTTACTAGCCCATTAAATTTTGGGCAGTAAATGAGCAACTTTTTGAAGGAAACGATACCAGTGACTAAAATAATCAAGGTATACATTAAAATAGTAAAACAGAAGAGAATAAGACAGAAAAGATATTACTACAATTCTTATATTTAGGCCAACTGATCTTCTAAGAGTATCTTTTATGCTTTCATTTTCTTTGATCTGCCAACACCAGCTTCTTGTTTGTTCTTCCAGTTTAATGTGTTCAGTGCTAGCTGAAGAGCTTTTAGCTATGACCCGCATTTATGAAAGTTACCCTTAAAAGCATGGCTTCCAGACTATCATAATCATTTTGATTTTGATTCCATGCTAACAATGCTTCTTATATGCAAAAAAAAAAGAAAAAAAAAAAGAAAAAAAAAAAAGAAAAAAAAGAAACTGAAAAAACCCCAAACCCACACACATTGTGCTCCTGCCCCACGGCTCATCTGGTTGAATAGTATGACAGGCTCTTTTTCAAATACTACTGTACAAAATTCTCATCTGTATGAATTAGATAATATTATTTCACTTACAGATGAAAAATAATTAAAAGAGATGCCTCCGAAATGACTTAATTTACCATAATTTACTAAGTCCTCATATAAATATGGTAACATTTGCTTTGTGGGCATGAATTTTGGCACTGTGGGCCCACCTGTAACATGGGGCTTTTGGCTTGGGCAAGCCTATGAACAGAGAATGACCGGGGAAGACAGAGCAAAATGGCCTTCAGTAGCAACAGCAAAGCCACAGGTTACCCAGCTTCCTGTGAGAGAAAAAATTAAAACGGACAGGCAAGCACATCCATATCAACACCCTGATGTTCATAAATGTGAGCTCTTCATACCTGAAACATCAATCTGCATGATTTCTTATCAAATCTGTACTGTTAGAAAAAAAAGCTAAATCCCACACAAATCTTTTCCGTTCACATTCAAGATAAGCTAACAAAGCGGAGAATTTTTAGCACATTTCTACCATAACTAGAGAGGGAAAAGAATAGATCAGAATTAACCAGCAGGTGCATAGACAAAAAAAGAGTAATAGCTACCACTGGAAAGACCAGAACAGCCAGGACTACAGAACCACGGCAGTTTAACACTGCTGGCAGCACCAAGCTGCTCTCACTGCCCCACCTCAGAAGGGCAGAGAAAGAAAACAAAAGGTAACAAACTCAAGTGGTAAAGGGCAGGGAGCTCGCTCACCAACTACCACCACAGGAAAAACAGGCTCAGCGTAAAAAAGGTGAGGTTACCACCTACTGCTAACAGTCTAGAGCCAGGAGAACTAAACGGGTAATCTTCCTCACGCCCGCCCTTTCCTACCTCGTCATGCAGCACGGCGCAGCCCTCCAGGAGCACACTGCTCCACACGGATCCTCACGTGCGGCAGTTCCCCCAGCGGCCCTTTCCCTCGGGACTGCTCCTGCGGGACTCTCTGTGGATGCACTCCCTCTGGGCCCCACCGGCTGCTGCACTGCGGGCTCCTTCGCAGCCGCACATGGCGACTGCGGGACGCTCCGCGCCTCCGCTGGCCGCACGGACTGTTGCTTCGCGCCCCGTGCACCCCCAGCCCTCCTCCTACGCTGCCCGCGTGCCCGCAGGGCCGTTTCTCTTCCAGCTGCTGTGGAGCAACGCTTTGCTCTTCCTTCTGTCTGCTCCCCCAGAGCGCACGCGGTCTCGATCACGGCTCAGCTCTAGCGGGCGCGAGCCCCCTTGGAGCAGCACGAGCCGGCTCTGCTCTGGGCTGCACTGGGATGTGCTCACAGAGGCCAACTTGCAGCCCCAAAGCTTCGCTCTGAAAGGCCAGTGCAAGAACATAGAAGGTATGAAGACAGAAAATAGAGTTCACTTGATTAATCCCGTAACATAATAATAGTAAATGGCATTTCTTAAAGTTTGATGCTCCTTACGTGTTTTGCATTTGCCTTTATAGGGAAAACAGTGAGTCCATTCAAATATTTTAAGTTCTCTCTCATGCAGACAGGGTTTGGATCTATGAATGTTAAACACTGTTCCCACTGATCAGCTTCTCCTCCCCAACTCAGCCACTCATTTCTATTACCTATATTAAAAACAAAAGCACAGCACTCTGCAAAAGAACAATTTTTCTACGTAGCCCACAGTGTCAACAGGAAGTAAAAGATAACAGGTTGCAACGATTAAGAAATGCATTTGCATTTACATAAATATTTATATGGACCCTTGCAGATCTTGCTTGCTATCAAGTACAACAGGCCACTGGCAATAATTAAAAAAATCAATAAAACCTAACCCCTACAAAACAAAAACAAAAAAAAAAAAAAGGAAAAAGCCTTTTAAAAAATTATGTGGGTAATGATAAGTTTATAGAGCTGTCTCCTAAAACACTTAATTGCATAACTGCTCATGATTTTAGTGTTGAAAAAAATGAAGAGCTAAAAGCAGAGTTGATAAGTTGATTTAAGAATACTCAGTGAAACACTGTAAAATGTTTAGTCACAGTGTTTTTCCTTGTCTTCCTGTAGTACTACTTGTGGAAAGGGAAGATTACTACAACCATTTTTGTAACTCACACGTAGACGTGAAAAGAGGAAAAAGGAAAAGAGACAGACTTAAATGAAGAACAAATTGCCAAGAACAGTTCTCTCAGCACAGTTTTGTATCAGCACTGATTGTTACAGACCCCTCCAAACACCACAGGGCTTACTCTGTGATCTTGCCCAGACATTGCCCCAAGCTATGATGTCCTGAAGCTATGAACACCACCACATATAATCACACATCACCACTCATTGTGAGGCTGCCTGTCTCCCTCCAACAGACCTTCCTCAGTGGCTGCTGACAACTGAAGCCAAGCTAGAAATCAACGAAAAAGATGTAAATCCTCAGTAATCTCTAGTCATCTCTAGATGATAAGCACAGCAGCTGGCATGTCTTTACTATTATATCCTACTCTGCAACATACATACTTAAAATACATTTAGAGAATATGAGTCTTCATTCACATAGTAATTTTACATTTTGTTGTTTTGCAGGACAACTGTTGAAAGCCAGTGAGAGAAAGAGAACCCAAAACAATGAAGACATCATTAAAATGACTGTTAATAACAGTGTTTAATGCTATTTTCAATCCTTGACTGTAAAAAAATCATGCAATAATCTTAGAAATGCTTAGCATTTATCACTTTAGTACCCTGTTTTAGCCTTACGCAATACCGGCACTTGTTTTGGTTGTAATGTAATATTTTTTTTTTTTCCTCAGGTTTCCTGTTACTAAAATATAGTAAAACTCCAGGTATATTAATGCTTCTTCTTTCACTTCTAATTGACTGTAATAACTTAGAAATCATTTCATAAACGCAATCACGACATTCAATGAAAGACTAAACAAAACAGAAACCTTTACTCAGTCTTAATAATTTATCTTTCATAGAAGGAAAATAGATTTAAAAACTATCAGATGCACTGAGATGTAACTATTGCATACTATTTCAGAATCAGCCATAGTTGGCAGTTGTATTGCATTTCTAGAATACATTTAGATTAAACAGCACCAAGACTTTTACTACAAAAACAAAGATAAACAGTTGACAAAAAAACTTACTGTTACTTGGTTGCTGTAGAATCTATGCTCTCAATGAAAGCTTCAAGTTAGTGTTCGAAGTTATTGTCTGTTAAGAAGTCAAAACAACATAAACGTTAACAAAATATAGAATAAGCTTTGAACTGCAACAGCTAATAAGGATCTTTTCATATAACAAATAATAAATATACCCACAATAATATCTAAGGTTTGATTTCTCCCCCATGAATTCAGAATCAAAATACAGGGCAAGAACAAATTATGTCTTACTAGAGATGCTGTCACAGAATGAGTTAAGAAATGCCATCTTAGGACCACAGGATAAAAAAAATGGGGATGCAGACCAATAAAAACCTAAAACGAAAAACAATCTAAAAACCCGAAAATGAAAACCAAGCCCTAACTCACTCCAGTACTCCAGCAACGGACACAAGTTTTAATAGAGATACACTCTCATTACTAGCAATTCTAATAAAACAAAGATTTCGATCAGATAGAGATATATGCTGAACATATATATTTCTTATTAAACATTGAAACCAAGTTGATGGGAGTACATTATCAGTTACTGCATTATCTTTGATCAGATAAAGATTTGACCCTACTGCCAATACTGATTTTTTTCATTTTCAAACATAACACAAACAGCACAAAACCTCACTGACAGCAAGGTATTCTGATTTTGACATGAAAAGTGGAAGGCAAACCCAAACAAAGAACATTTCATATTGTGTCCTTATCTTACAAGAAATCCTACTTGTATTTCCCCTTCCTTACAGAGAAATATCAGCTTCTATTAACTGAAACAGTAAACATGGATTTTATTAACATTAATTAAGTCAGGCCTTCAATGTTCATGAAAGTACTTAAGCCCACATCTAAATACTTCTTCCTTTCCTAATTGTTAAGTATTTTGACTGTAAATATATTTCCCGCCGCGCCCCCCCCCCCCCTTCCCCCCCACTACAGAAAAAAATGGTAGCCATCACAAATGTTGGTTGGCAAGCTGAGCATATCTATGACCAAGCTATATTGAAGGGAAAATACTCTATATACTTCATTGTCTGAACTATATTCCATAAATTTTATTGATATTTCTGTATAAAGAATAAAGATTGTAATCAGTTTGCTTTGCTCCTAGATAAAAGTCAAAGTACAATATAACAAGAAAAAGCATTTGAGATGTCTGTGGGATGTTTAGATACAGGGCTGGAATTGGCTTATGGAGGTTGCTCCAGAAGTAATGACTCCTATTTATTGCCATTGAAAATACAAAGAATACAAGAAACTATTTGACAGAGCAAATTTGCAGCTATAAAACACTGTATTTCAACATAGTCACCATCATTAGCTGAGCATTTTCTCCAGCAATGAACAGGAGCCTGCATACTGTGTGCATCTTAACTTGCACTAGCAAAGGTGATCCACATCACTACTGCTGAAATGCACCACCTGCCACTTCCCCATGCTCACATCCACTGTTCAGGCTCCATGAACATTCCACAAGTGGAAATAAATGTCAGTGGGTTCCATTTTTTCCCCACATGGAAGAATTCAGTGACACACTTCTGCTTCACATGCACTTCAGTGTCAGATGTCATTCTGTCAGACTGCCCTTCTGCTGCCATCTGTCACACAGCAACAACATCTAATGGAACATTGGCAGGAAGCTTTGACCTCTACTGTCATATCAATATCTACCTTTGATGTTGAGGGCCATCATTATAAAATAAAAGGCATTACTTCTGGAGCAGCCCTTGCATATATAAAACCTGAGTTTACAGTGCGCACATCTTATACTGCAACAGATCTGTGTATTTTCTCTATAACTCATTAGCAACCATATGAATTAAAACCTAATGGTAAAGTTCACACACAATTGCTTTTAATCTCTGACAAATCAAATTAAGTTAGCCTGAAAGAAACAAACACAGAAACTCAAAGAAATCACAACTATTTGTTTTCAATTTCCACAATCCACACCATACCAAATAATTGCTTTTCACAATTAATCACAATGGAATGTGTGCAAGAATAGGGAAAAATTGAAGGAAGGTCTGCTGAATTTGAAGGAAAGTGTTGGAGATCAGGTGACCAAAGCAGCTAACCATCACTACACCTAATTATTAGACAGCCAAATTTATTCTTTTTGAACATCTGAATCACAATGTTTTTCATACACAGAGTTATTTAAAATGGAAAGTGCAGCTTAATACCGTCAACTGGTGGAAATGGCACAATTAGCTCTTATTTATTTGGCACACAAAGCAAAACTGATCACACTACCCTACACATTTGTACAAAAAAAAAAAAAAAAAAAAAAAGGCAAACACAAAGAAACAACAAGAAAAATCCAACCTTGATGTAGTGTCTATTGTCACTGAAATGGTCTATTTCAGGGACAGAAACTAACAGAAGGAAAGAACTTGAAAAACTGAACTCATCCATGAGATCTGGACAGACTAATATGGGAAACTGCCTCAGATCTCTTAACTGGCTCTTGACCAAGAAGGAAAACAGGACAGCTGCAGATGAAAGAGGGATCTTCAGCCTGAGTATATCAAGAATATTTCCTGACCTCTTACATTTTATGAGCTTTTCCAACTAGCTGTGGTATCTTATAATAAATGTCATTTTATCTTAACATGATTTAATTTCCCCTCATAATCACATTCATAACAAGGGCAGCCTCCAGTGCAGCAGCAAATCTGCAGACTGTGTCAAGTAAGCACTCTAAGAATTGTTCTACCTATCAAGCACACCTTCAGCTTGGCTCAAACACAGCAGTGCTGCACGCAGCCATTCCAGCTTCATGTGCCAGACAGAGAGCTGGCAGCAGATAAATCATAGCAGTAGCAAGTGACTGCCAGCAACTTGTTGCTAGGAAGGGCTGACAGGGCTTAAGGTGCACACATCAGCTAACCACGGAATAATCAACTCCGTTCCTTATGCTCACTGCTAGCAGGAGCTTACAGGAGGTATCTTACTGATGTGACAGTCAAAAACTATCAAGATTTTTACCAGTTCGTGAAGAGGTGGGTATAAAAATGTATGAAATCTTGCAGAATGAACATGAACATGTTCAAGTTAATTCTAAGTTAGGAATCAATAGTTCATAAAGTCACTTAAACTTCTGAGTTAACAGATTTGGGAGAGCCACTTCGTAACAACTGTGAGAACGCATTTAAGAACAAAGGCAGACAAAAAAATGACACCTTGAGGAATTATTTAAGGATGACCAAGAACCAAAACAAAGTAAAAACAAAAAGCCACAGTGAGTCAATAAAAGTTTTTCAGAAGTCAACTGTAATGGAGCAAATCACAAAGAAGCAGTTTTACTACCCACAAGCAATTTAGCACATCTGCATAAGCAAAGGTAATAGCCCACTGAAAAGAAAACTTCACCCTGCTTTTGGCTCAATACAGACTCTCATGCTTCATTCATATTTTAGAGCTACTCATTTAGTTCTGAAGCAAAGAGGAACTACTCCCTTGGTTTGAAAAAGAAAAAAGGGAAATAGAACTTTTGATAAATTTCTTCAAGTAAAATAGCTAATACCTTGTGCTACAAACCTATGAAGCTGAACTTAAGACAACAGTTCTGAAAACAACTAATCGCTCTTTTGAGTAAGACAATGGAAATAACAGAGTACCTCATTCAGTTTTAATTCACAAAAGCTGGGACACAGGGACAGATAGCAACTAAAGGGACTGGGCAAAGATCTGTTGAACATTTTCAGTTATGCATGTATCAGTGTGGAGAAACAACAGAAACAAGGAAACCAAAAACACAACTTTTGAAGCCAAATATCTAGAAGAGGGCCTGGACTGTAAAAACATGCTTTGTACAACACAGAGCACTACAGAGAAATGCATGTCCTGAAGGTTACAGGCTCCCAAGTCACACTAGCACAGAAATCTCAACACAAAGCTGCACCTAAGAAAACCTATGCTTCAGAGGCAAAGCTTATATTACTGCATACCCATTACACTGGCAAGACAGATATACTGTCTTTGCATAATACAATCATACTGCATTATGCTGCAGTAGATAATCAAAGATCAAGTAGTCAGGCACCAACTCAGATATCCACACCACCTTCCACTGAGTGGTGCCAACATAACCTTACCCTGTCTTGGGTTGGGATCTTTTGGTTGGTTTGGGAGGTGTGCTTTTTTGGTTTTTGTTGTTTCTTTTAAAAAACCTGATACATTAGTATCCCAAACTCCAATGCACCAACGAACACAGCACTAATAGCAGCACATACCTTCCCCCATACACACCTTCTTATCTCTTTCTTAAGTTGCCTCTGTTTTGAAGAATATGACCTACAGTTGGGATCAGACCCATTTTTTTCCACAACTTCACATTTCCATCAGTATTTTTTCCCTAGTGGGAAAGAGTTCTTAGAAAATACAAAGATTTTAGGGATAGTAAATGAAAAGAACTTGTTTGGTCCTAAAGTAGGCAGCCATTACAGTGCAATCAACATGCTTAAAAAAGAAAAAAGAACACTAACCTAAAAAAGCTTTAAAGTACCAATGATTAAATAAATATTTTTGAAAAAAAGAATTCTTACTGTATAGGTCAGAGAACTATAACATGCCATTTAAAATAAGGTTACAAGCAGCAGCATTACAGTTAGCAATAATTAGCAGGAAATGGGAGTGAGAAGAAACAAGATCACCTTTTAAGAGCATCAAAAAAGAATATACAAAGAAATTTCTCTTTCACTTCTCATGCACCTGACATTTCCTATGCCTTTGGAAAGTTTATTTAAAAAAAGAAACAAAGCAAGCTTTCATAAACTGATGGAGTAATTGGAGTGATCCTACTTTCTGTGACTGCCAGTTGTTTTTAGTAACTTCTAAAATCATAGATTAAATATCAGTTCACAGTTAGGTCTAAGTTTCCTCACTGAAGTTGCCTTTTAAAAAATCCTATTTGCAGTTAGCTTTCCAAGTTACATTTTCCCATGCATTTCCCATATTTCAATTTCCCTCCCAAGAGAGAAATATTGGTTGGTCAAGTGGTTTTCACCAAATGTAAGCAGCAGTTTACTCTGCAGCTTCTACACAGGTACCTGCAGCTCATGCCCATATGGTGAGGGGGACAAGCAAGTCACAGAAGGACATATTTGTTTTAGCAAGTACAACTGATTTGCTTGTAATTAAGGAAAAACAAACAAAAACCTCTATAAGGGAGCTGGCAAAGTACTTAGTTCTTACCTTAACAAAGTCTACTTGAGGGATACATGAAGAAAACAGAATGAAATAGATGAATGAGACAAGATATGGGAGAACAGGACTAGAAAAGAACTGATGAAGAGAGAACTAAAAGGAAAGTTGGAAACAAAAACAAATGGTTCAAGGAAGAAAACATCAGAAAACATCAGAAATGTGCAAAAACTTAAGGAAAAAAACACAAAACACGGGAGAATAAATTCAGTAGCCAAATAGACAAGGGCTTAGATTAGAATTTGGCTAGAAAAGACAACAGTAACAAGTAGCTGTGTAACACAGTAGAAGAATAAAAGAGTATACCATGAGTAGTACCTGAAGAAACTATCATTTGCAGCAAGATCCCTTATGCATCCCTTGACTGCTTTGGTTGAGAGTACATCACACTAGGAGAAGGGAAGTCTGTGCCTCAGAATCCCCATAACATGGGAAGGTCTCCTGAAGCTTTTTTCATTCGTAGCTACTTCACTAAGTAGGAATACTGCACAGAGTAGCTCTGCTCAAGTTACAGGAGCACAGCCTTCAGCTTCTGTCACTGACACAGCAGCATATCTGCCTCTAGTAGCCCATATTAGTCATTATTTAGCTCTTCCTAACAGCTTACTGGGACTGATTAGCAAAAAGTTACTATAATATGGAATAAATTATCGTAGCAGCATTTAATTCTATCTTCCCCATTCCCGACTCCCCTTCATTGTCATGCCCAGTATTTTATTTCAAGTTACTCACTATAATAATAAGTATTTTCTCATGGAAAGTTTACAACTGCTTTCAAGCAGGCAGCCATATCCCCCTAAGCCTTCACCAGCAGGTCCAGTTACACCCTCAGCCTTCCCAGCTGAGCTCAGTCAATCCCAACAAGTATCACCTGCTTGCTCTCATTCTCACTTTTCTTTCCTTCACTCCTCTATTCCTGCTCATTTCATCAAATTTTTCTCTTCGTATGTTACATAGCAGATTAGAGCCCCAATCTTCACTGGAGTGCAATCGCACCAGAATTATAATAATAAATGTTATGTGCTATCTCATTTCTGCAGTTATTTAACATAATTATTACCAGAGCAATACCATTATATGTCTATCTCCAGATGTTTTTTTTCTGAGAAAATTAGAACAATAATGTGAAGCACGGCTTACCATTAAACAAAGTGAAAATATATTGTCAGGAAAGAATTACTATAATAACAGGGACAGTTACAGCATAGCTTGTCACATACACTAAAAAGATTATCCCTTTTACTTCAGATGTAGGAAAGCTGTGACTGCAGACAATTACTGGAATTATAAACAAAGTAGAAGAACCCTGATGTAAAAAAAAAAATTTGTTCAGCAACCTGAACAGCTACACATAACAGAAGGTTTGATTACACATACCTGTACACATGTAATGCTTCAAAGAAAAAACATTTGTTCATGTAAATCTACTACACTCTCATAAATTAAAGGAGGTAACTGACTTTTGTTAATATTTCCCCAAGACAAAAATGCAACATTAGAATCCTATTAAGTTTTAAATACACTTTATAAATGTTAGGAAAAGAAATGGAATAGAAAGAATGCTGAGGCTTTTCTTCCCAGCTCCTCACATATGCAGTTATATCCAGGTTTTGTTTTGTTTTTTAAGTACCCAGAAAAACTGACTTCCTACTTTTTCCCTCACTGTGAGCTCAAAAACAAAATGAAAATTTCCTATAAATTGCTTGGGTTCAGAATCTATTTAAACTTTAATCTAGTTGCCCCATTGATTAAACACACTATGTAAAGGTTTGGGTGTTTTTGTCTTTGTAGGTGAAGAGGGCAGATATGCATAAAACACATACCAAAAGAATTTAAACACAGAAATATTTTTTTTATTACAAAAAGAATGAGGAAAACATAACTCTCAATATCTGTGGATACAGAATGTTTACATCTACAATATGACTGACACAATAGAGTTGGCCACTGGTAGAGCTCTTCCTTCATTTTGTGACCAGCTTTTTAACATGTACACACTGACACTGATATACTACTAGACATAGCAATTTCAAATTGATTATCATATACCCTACACTTATTTCTTTGACCACATTTACTTGCTTAACTGCATTACACATTTCCCAGTAAATTAATCTTACCCAACTTGATAATACTGCATTACATTAAAAAAACTCAACTTGCATTGTTCTTCAAAGCCAATTTCATTTTTAAAAATTCCTCAGTCCATACTTTTCAAAGTAGCTTTTGCAAGCATTTTTTAAGTCAGTTCAGTAAGTTTCCACTTATGATTGAATAGGTTTCAATATTTAATCTTTTTTACTCTGACCTTCAGTAATGAAGAAGGATCAGTTCAGTAGCATTTATTCTGTTGCAGATCTGGAGTGTTTCCTAAGATTTTTCCAGTTTCTATTTTCTAATCCAAAACGCTTATTTCTGAAGCTCTAAATTTGTACAAACTGAAAGTATTTACCTTTGAAATATAAACACCTCTAGCAAAACAGTTAAGATGTTTACATACAGTTCAATACATCTATGAAAAATAGGACATGTAATATTGTTAATGGCTTAATGATTATTGATCACAAGTAACATAACTACCTATCTATCAGGAAAACTTCTCTTTACAGTGAATCTCAATGCCAAAAGCAGAGGCCTGCAGACTATTACCTTCCACTGAACTGTTGATACAGAGATTTCTGAGACTGAGAGTTGGCATAGTTATCTACTATATTAATAGCCTCTGTGCATTTGTATTTGGATCCAAAATGAAATAATACTACTTACTGAGGGCTCTGCTAACATAGAAAATGAAGAATCAGTTTCAGAGATGTGCTGTTACCATACAGAAATTATTCTGATTGTACTCTTTTACACTTTTTTCCTCCTAAATTAATGTAAAAACAATTCTGCATTTAAGAAATTGTAAGTTGTTTTTGCATTAAAGAGACTGAAAAAAAAGAAAAAATTGCAAACTATAAACACGTGATAAATACAAGAACAATTTGTGAAGTGAATTTAGAAAATTTTGAGATAATGTATGATTTTAGTAAACAAAATGATGTTAGAAAACTAGTAATATCTGAACTTCAGGAATGTACGCTCCAATTTTTACCCTTCTTAAATGATCTGAAATAATACCATATGCTTTGGAGAGATGTTACAGGTGGAAAAATTATAGCGGTGAAAAAGGGAAAAGAAACAAACAAGAAAGAAATGCTCACCTGTATCCAAAGATCTAAGTTTGCAGGAAAAACTCCCAAGAAGAAGAATCTCCAGAAAAAAAAACCTACCCCAGTGGTAGTCAGCCCTTAAATGGGGGGGTCTAGGAGAAGTGTGGCCAGGGTCCACCCCTTCCAGCCACACAGCTGAATTGCCTTCACCTGTGCTCTTATGGCTGGCTCAGTGCTTACCTCAGGTGATCAATCAGTGGTTCAGGCTGTGACTCAACAGTTCCCATATACTACCCATATGCAAATTGAAACTGCCTTGACAGTTATTTATGCTTTTTTGCAAAATGTCTTTTTTTGAAACTCAGATGAATATTTTTTTTATCTAAAACTAAGAATTATTGCTCTCACAATTTTTTTTTCTTCTCCTTCTGTAATTTTTACTGAAATATAAACAAATATTTGAAGAAAACATTGAATTAATATTGCCGCTATCTTCTACTAGGAAAAATATGATTACATATAACAATTTATAAATATTACCATGGTCTCTTTTTCATGGTGTAAGTTGTTTGAGGTAATGTTTGCTGAACATTCTCTTGTACAAATTCCTCCTCTAATCCAGATGGCACTATTTTACTTTATGCTCATCACCTTTTGAATTAAGCATCTTTGTTCAAGGCACTCTATTTATCATTTCCAGAAGGTATGAAAAGCTAGATTAAATGAATTCTACCTCTTCATTTTTAAATGGCTTAATTACTAACTTGAAAGGAACTTTTATGTTCAAAGACTGAAAGTTTGTAAGGAGCCTTTCTAGTGAACATCAGCTTCTTAAAAACAGAGGTCAAGTCTGAAGAGTCATTCAATTTATCTATCTAGTCCTGGACTCAGACATAACACTTCAACTACCTACAACAACACCAAGTAGGTCATCAGGTACTTGGCCCAGTACTGTTGTCAAAGAACAAAAAGGATTCTGATAAGCTGGGAAAAAAAAAAAAAAAAAAAAAAAAAAAAAGCTGCTTTACTCATCATGTGAATAGAAATGCACATGCTCAGATACATTGTGTAGCAGCTTTGATAGGAAGATATAGCAGCAATAGATTGATTTATCCAGAGGAAGATTGAGTAAGAAGACTAGGTACATAGAAATCTACTCAAGAGATGGGATTCCAGTAGCCAGCAGAATTACTCATGTAGCTTGGCACAGATTAAATGAAATATATCACAAGAAGGCCACCAGAGTTTCCATCACTGTTCAGCCCAGTGTTACAGAAATAACACAAAACCAAAGTGCAGTGTAGTCTGAGTTTAAATAACTGTCCATACGTATGACATTTAGTAAGGACATCTTTTTTGTTCATAACTGATAATGAGAACAGTCCATTTTAGTGCAAAGATCAGAGGATCACTTAAACCACAAGTAAACACATTTAAGACTTTCTGAAAATGCTTATCTTTTCACCTCAGATAAGGAAGCAACTGAGGGAAACAAGCCTCTTACCCCGAGCACATGACCTAACAATCCACAGATGCAGTGAAAATAATCCTATTAATTTTTATGCTTATTCACTTTGGTGGTATAATTTTCAATCAAAATTTAGTACTGGGCTGGGCTACTGCAATTCAATTCAGATAGATCTATCACTCTGAATCACATAATCACAGAATCGCAGAGGTAGGAAGGGACCTCAAGAGATCATTGAGTCCAACTCCCCTACTAATGTAGGCTCCCTACAACAGGTCACACAGGTGGAGTCCAGATGAGTCTTGAATATCTCCATAGAAGGAGACTCAACAACTCCTCTGTGTAACTGTTCCAGTGCTTCATCACCCTTACTGTAAAAAAGTTCTTCTGCATGTTTGTATGGAACTTCCTATGTTCAAGCTTTAGGCCATTGCTCCTTGTACTACCCCTACACAGCAGAAAAGCCTGACCTCAACCTTTTGCCTCCCAAGTCCCTTTAGATATTTGTAAACATTAATCAGATCCGCCTCAATCTTCTCCCGAGGCTGAATAGTCCCAGGTTATTCAGATTTTCCTCACATGTGAGATGCTTCAGGCCCTTTATCATCGAGGCCCTCTGCTGGAAGGATGATTTATAAAATCTACTAGTGAAACCAGTAAAAGAGAGGACAAAAAACCTTCATAATTATCATTATGAAACAAATCAAGCAAAAAACTGGTATTTAACATATGTTTATTTACTAAACTACATTTTTTAAATAAAATAAATGTACATTCTCTGGATTCCAAGCACAGACTTTGTTCTAAATCACTAATGATATTGCAAAAGAATAAAATAGCATCTTTTTTTCCTAGATATATGCAAACTTAGAGATTTGAAATTATTGCTAGAAATGGCTAAAAATGCAAGAATATTTTCATTATTTTTCTTATTTAACAATTGCTGACTTGTATGTCCATAAATTTGTTCATTTAAGTATTTCTGGTTCTCTGACTATTTCGGGAAACTGTGATATTTCTTTACCATTTCAAAAGGTGCATGTGTTTTCACATTTGATTAGAGGCACACACATAATTCATATGCATCTGAATATTTCCATTTTGTTTTTTCTTTTTTTTTCTTTTTTTTTTTTTTTTGCAGCACTTTAAGGCATAGGGAAATGAAAAGACATAATTATGTCTGTGACCCCAGAAACTGTGGTTTTTTTTTTTCTTATGAGTGGTATCATGTGAAAGAAACAAGGAAATATATATATGAAAATGGAAGGGCAAAAGATAAAACAGAGTAACAAAAAGCAAAAAAAAAAAAAAAAAAAAACCAAAGATGGCACAGAAGAGAACAAGTTTAGGAAGCAAAAAGAAACAAAAGTGTAGGTACATAAGATATGAAATAGAAATTGAGTTAGAATGAACTGGGAGAATTCAGAATGGGTTAAATAAAGAAAAAATGAAAATAAAATACAAATCAATAGAATCAGAATGGTGAGTGGCAGGAATTAGCCTAAAAGAAATTCGTAGAAATGAAAAGAGAAAATGTGTGCATTTTTGAAGTATGATTAGAAGAAGCAAAATTAGGACAACTTGTCTGAAGCTGATCTTGGAAATAACTGCCACAAATCTTTTGGTGCTTCCACCCCTAACTTTCAGTTATTCTCCTTTGACAGTTTTCCACAAATTGAACAGACTATACAGTATTTCAAAAGCCAATAAAGTACTATATGGCCAGAAATAAGCTATCTTAACTAGTGCAAGAAATGCTAAAGCAATTACAATAATGACTCATCATTAAAATTATTCTTCTCTACTAAAGTGGTCATAGCTGCAAACAGCTTATGATTATCTGAAAGTAGCCGTTCTTCAAAAGAAAGGGCAAAAGTATTTCTGTTGAAGAAGTCAATTGAATGCTCATTGTGCCTTTTACCATTACCCTTCTCCTACCTCAGAAGGGTTATTTCCTCCTTTGTCACTTCATTTATATTCTATGGTATAAGGTTCATTGATTACAATCAGGAGAAAAACTTACAATGAAGTGAATTATAACTTCTATTCACAAAGGCCTCTAGACTTGCAGAAAAAGTTGCAGATAATATCCCTAAGGCTTCTGAGATACAGCATGGCAGAAAATTGCTTCATATTGCTTAATTTGGAAACATTAACATAATGGAAGACAATCAATAGGCTCTAATAATTACAGCAAAACCACACAATTCCCACAAGTAAACATGTGCTTTATGTGGTATACAAATTGCTATCCTGTAAAATGCATAATTACATTCTCTGTGAAGCTATTCATCAGAAAACACAACTATCTTGTTATACTCTTGAGGGTATTTCAAAACTTCCTTCTGTAATCCTAGCAGTCTCAGTTAAAACAAGGTCTAAGAGCAAATAATAGCAAACAGGAGCCGAGACAGTTACCTCTTCATGTATTTGAATGAAACAACCATCATGGGAATAGAATTCCTAAACCCACTTCTATCTGTAACACACAGAAGCAGAAAAACAATTTTTGAAGAAACATTTGGGCTCTACAATAGGAATTCCCACAGCAGCTAGCACTGATGGCTTGCAGAGAAGTCTCCCAAGTGAAGTCAAGATGGTTCCTGCGCTGTTAAACACCAGTGAAAGAACTAGAAATACCTTTCTGGGAACAGGCTTCCAACGTCAGAGATCAGTAATAAATGATCCATTTTTTTTTCCTCTCAGTATAAAGTCTTTCCTTCTCTCATATTTTTCTCACAGACATTGAGGACACTCTTAGTGGTTTTATGTACTATGAACTTTTACTTTGTTATAAAAATACTGCTGGAATAGCCTAGTGACAATAGAAGAATTACTTACTGCAATATCCCTAATTTTGATGAATTGCAGTTCATCAAAAGTTACAATGGAGCTAAAAATAGAGTGCTATGCTTTATCCTAAATATGTGAGCTGAATTCAGAAGCACTTCAGTACTTAAGTGTAGAAAAATGACAAGATTTGGGGTAAAGAGGAATAAGAAAAGAATTAAGATTTGTGCTTAAAAAGGTATACTGCAGAAATGCTTCCTCCAGGCTGGCAAGAAACCCTACAAACACATAAGACTACTTACAGGTTAAAGGTTTTTTGTTGTTGTTGTTTTTTTTTTTTTTTTTTTGCATAGCCAGAATTCAAATATAAGTGTTAGGCTTTTTCCTAGCATATAATGCTGCTAATAATGTTAATCTGTGATTTATTCAATTGTCTGCCTTATTGGCAAGAAGTCCTGTGTGGTCCTGTGAACTATCACAGCAGAAACAGCTTTTCAGATGCTAAGTAGACTTTCTTTAAAGTACATACAAGTTAAAGTACCAATGAATATGTATTCCCTATATTAGAACTGATCAAATAGTTTTTTCTTGGTCATTTTGTTGCTACATTTTTCCACAGTTACAGGCATTTAATCTGATGAAAACTTTCCTTAAGATTTCTCAGTCTGGGCAACCTAAATGCCGTCTTGCTCTCAGAAGAAATTATCGCTCTTACTGAGACCACATAAAAGCACGTATGTATATGGGCTACCTGAATCCAAGATGTTTCTTAACCCCAACATTCTCATCCTTGAAACTGTAAAATTACTTCAAAAATTTGCTTATTTTTGAAAAAGGTAAAAAGGTCTGTCTGTCTGTCTGTCTAC